TCCAGAGCCCAAGCTGTGTGTGGAGGTGAGGCCGACTATCTCTAGTCGGTATCGCTCAACCTCCCCCACAAGCTCGGGCTCCTTCCCCCCCAGTGAGGTGACGTTCCACGTCCCAAGAGCCAGCTGTTGTGTGTGCGGACTGGGTCGCCGAGGTCTCCGCCTTCGACCGCTGCCCAGTCCTCTCTGCACCGCTTCGCCACCACGGACCCCTCTGCGGGTGGGCCCCGTGGGCTAAGGCCCGGCCACCAGGCGCTCGCATACGAGCCCCGACCCCAGGCCTGGCTCCAGGGTGGGGCCCCGGCTGCGCCATGCCGGGCGACGTCACTGATTTTATGTTTGTGCTGTCCATGGTGTCTTCTGGACTGCTCTTTGTCTGACTCGTCACCTGAGACCTGTCTGCCATGGGAGACCCTACCAGGGGCATGAAGCCCCAGACAGCATAGCTCCCAGGATCATCCGAGTACTCAAACTCCCCCACCACGTTAAGGTGGCAGTCCAGGGGGGAGCAAACATATTGCTCATTTAAGACCTGCCCCAGGGTCACACTGAGCTATTGCTTACATTAGCCTGGCCTGGTCAAGGCTAAATTGATTTAGCCATTTTTCTTCTGTCAGAACATAGTGATGACACTGCATAAAACATTTTTCCCGTCACTATATTCAAAATGCTGTGGCCATGTTGACTGACTTCATAAATGCACTTAAAAAGATTGAAATGTTAATCCTTGCACTCAAAAGTACATAATCCAAACATGCTTTGTTGATGATCATTGAAAAACAAACTGATGTGATTCTACTAAAGGTACTTTGTCAGAGCTGTCACAGGTTTGGACAAGAAAACAAAGAGGGAAAATGCACTTGTGTCTCCAAATGTCAACAATTTTCTAATGAACTTCAGATTGGTTTTGTTATGATGGTGAAGAATGTGCAGATTTTTAAATGTTTGCTTTGTGTAAAGAGTGACAAGATTGTGGCAGTGTTAATGTTAATTATATTTATAAGTATAAGAACAAAACCAAACCAACTGTGATATAACCAACATATATATATATATATATATATATATATATATATATATATATAGATATATATATATATATATATATATCTATCTATATATATATATATCTATATATGTATAGATATATATATATCTATATATATATATCTATGTATCTATATCTATATATGTATATATATATATATATCTATTATATATATATATATATATATATATATATATATATATATATATATATATATATATATATATATATATATATATATCTATATATATATATATATATGTATATATATATATATATATATATATATATATATATATATATGTATATATATATATATATATATATATATAGATATATAGATATATATATATATATACATATATAGATATATATATATATATATATATATATATATATATATATATATATATATATATCTATCTATATATATTATACATATATAGATATATATATATATATATATATATATATATATGTACATAATGCGCTGTATGTAAGGACAACTTCCAATTTTACCTGAAAGTAAAAGTTGGTAATGTTTTTTTGTCATTATTATTATTATGACTTTAAATGGGAGAGAAGAGATCATTGGATTGGGTAGTTTTGTATTTTAATACATATTTTATGATGAATTTTAAATTTCCAAAGACCAAGTAATGCTGATAATATTCCCTCATGATGTTGTAATGCTTTGGTAAACTGCAGAGTGTGGCGTTGTGCTGGACGGACCATGAAGAGGAGGCTTTTAGTTATATTTCAGGAACACGTCAAATTAGAGTTATTACTTGTGACATTTCTCCTTCTCATTTCAACAAAAATGATGTTAAAATAAACTTGATTTGTTCTTGCTTTTTCTTCTGACGTTCAGAAATACAGAATGTAATTTGAAGCTGAATCAGTGTGAGAAGCACCACAGACATTTGTTGATCTAAAGATGAAGTATGTTTCTTTGTGTGTTAAATATAATACTGTAAGGTTCTAGCTGACGAGTATTTACGGCTTTATGTGGGGTATTTTTGCTGGATAATTTAAAGGCCTCTTTGTTATTTTAAACATATAATCACGGAAATCATATACATTCCATGCCTCCAGAATGCTCTCTGAGAATCATCGCTGGCCCCAACACCTCAGAGAAAGCCTCTAATAATGTTCCTATGAATCTGGAACTCCAAATTGACCACTGTTAAAGGTGCACTCAGCACTTTGCGTTTACCTCTTTAATCGCTCTTTTAAGCAATAAAACATATATACACATAGGTTTATAAGGTTCTTTTAATAAGACATAACAGACTTTTTACATATAAGATACACATATATTGGTGTGATGACTTGATTGGATAAGGAAATGCTGATTTATCGTTCCGTTGCACTGGAGGGGCACAGTGCAGATCAGGAGAGGACATGTTGAGGGTCCCTGTCCCGTATCGACTCCTGCTGTTAGCGCCACAACAGAATTGCACTGAATACATTATATAATTTAAGTCAAAATCATTATTTAGCAAATCATGTCAATGGTTAAGCAAAAAAAAAAAAAAGGCATTTTCATATTTTGGATGTATCCCGATATTTCTGGAGATGAATAGACAGAAAACGATGGAAGATGTAAAAACAATCAAATGTTTATTTTTTGGCATTGATAAATATTTGTGTATGTGTACTTTGAGGTACCTTTTAAATTGTTATTAAACATATGCTTGGTTATGTGGCTTTGGTTTGTTTATTTCACTTTTCTTTAAACAATATCAGAACATTGTAATTGTAAAACTCAAACAAAACAAAACATTCTCAGAAAGAAAAGAGACAATCTGTATTAGGATATGTATTCCCAGAAAATTGAATGACAATATGAAAATATGCTTTATTCTCCTAAACAAATGATAGATAAAAGTGATAGTCTGAACTCTAAATGAATTACACATTTTAAGAATTGTATCAAATTGACCTCCTGGCCTTAAATGTTGATATAAAATAAGTTATTTTATGAATTATGATATCACCGGTAAGTCCCGCCCCAAAATCCACGATGCCGTCCACTTTAACCAATCAAGTGATGCCAAGGGCTGTCAATCATCGTGCTCGTATGTAATTCGAATATATATATATATACGTATATTATTAAAGTTAAAACACAAGAAATGCTATGAATGCAATGATAAAAACACACAGAGCCATTGGTCCGTCGCCGGCACATGACCAATGTCCATAAATGTTAATAAATGTTGAATGTTGAGTGTCCTGGATCATCACCGTCCTTTTAGTTAGACCCATTGGTCAGGGGTCCCATCATCAGGCCATGAAACAGACAATGGGACAGCAGGTGAATAGCAATGAACAAACTACAGCCGAAGTTATAGTGATGACAGATAAAGTAGGAAGGAGGAGAGGATAGTAATCGTACTTCTCCCAGCAAACTATAACTCCATAATATGCAGCTTGACTGACAATGAGGTTTTAAAGGACTAAAGGTTGTATTTTCTAAGTCTTACCAAATTCTTTCCATTTGAATCCAACTGGTTCCTCTGCGTCGAACCCTTTGCCAGATTGATTTGATTTGTGTAATTTGCTGGCGGCTCTTTTAGAACAGCTTTTCCTGACACAAAAGTAGAGGCGACCTTAACAGCCGATCGACTCTCAGCATGAAGGCTTCTTTACAATGTACTTTCTCTTTATGTACTGATTTTTCTCTAATCAGAAAAACACAAAGCACTGTTATTTTTTGGTACATGTTCTGCTTTTCAACCTCTCTTTCTTGAGGAATAACAGAAATAATCGATTCATGGAAAAACACATCAGCCTGCGGGACAACAACGAAGAGAAATCACCATGGTATAGATTTTTGAAAAAGCTGCTTGTGAATGTGTATTTTTTATTGCAGCCTCGAGGCAGACTTAAAGGTTCAGGCACTTACGACACTTATTTGACAGTTGTGGTGAACTCCGGTGCACTTGTGGTGAGTGATATTCTCGTTTTGGAGACATCGGTGCTGAACAATTGTAGATCTCAGTCACTTTTTAGTCTGTGATGTTACGGGGACTGTTGGGTTTGCTTTCGATTGAACCAAGAAATATGTAAAATACTCCGAGATAGTCCATGCACGTTGTCCTATAGTCTTACATGATGTGTATTCTTTGGAAAGCTCTTTTTTAACATTTTATTTATTTATTTATTTATTTATTATCATGTGCCTGCATGTGTGTCCTTGATAATGTCTAAAAAAAAAGAATATATATATATATATATCACAACATGCTGTGTTTAATAATCTAATTCAATCTTTTACTGAATCTGAATTCTAAACATTGTAACATTTTGGTCTGCAAAAATGCGTTATATAAATAAAGATTACTACTTACTTTTGCATACTTTAAGGCTGAGAACTAATTGGCTGGGTCACGTTCTCATTTTCACTTTTTTACCTGAAAAAAACTGATCAAAGGATGTGACAAAGGCCAAAAATACATGCATGTCCATCTGCCGTTGTAGACAAGGCAAGATTATTTGTATAGCACAATTCTTACACAAGGCAATTCAAAATGCATGACAAAACGTGATAGAAACAATCACACAGGGCATTAAAATCATTAATAATCACAGAGCATTAAAAAGAGGGAACATGCGATTCTTCAGTTGTATGCACCTGGATTTAAACACCTGGTTCACATGTTCAGGAAGACTTTATCTTAGCTGCATAAATCTGAAACGCAGCCTGCTCCACATGGTAGTCCTGACTCCGGGCACCAGCAGGAGTCCAGTCCCTGTGATCCTCAGAGTCCCCGCAGGAGCCCAGTCCCTGTGCTCCTCAGAGTCCCAGCAGGAGGCCAGTCCCTGTGCTCCTCAGAGTCCAATCTGTTTGGAGACTGAGGAACTAGTTTGATGGGTTTTATTACACTGTTATCTGTAATAATAATTGAATGTTGAGTACCCTTGCTTTAAGAGTTTGAAAAGAGCAGCTTCAGGCTTTTAGCAGCAGCAGCAGCAGCAGCAGCAGTAGCAGCAGCAGTCGCCGCAGCAGCAGCAGCAGCAGCAGCAGCAGCAGCAGCAGCAGCAGCAGCAGTAGCAGCAGCAGCAGCAGCAGCAGTAGCAGCAGCAGCAGCAGCAGCAGCCGCCGCAGCAGCAGCAGCAGCAGCAGCAGCAGCAGCAGCAGCAGCCGCAGCAGCAGCAGTAGCAGCAGCAGCAGCAGCAGCAGTAGCAGCAGCAGCAGCAGCAGCAGCAGTAGCAGCAGCAGCAGCAGCAGCAGCAGCAGCAGCAGCAGCAGCAGCAGTAGCAGCAGCAGCAGCAGCAGCAGCAGCAGCAGCAGCAGCAGCAGCAGCAGCAGCAGTAGCAGCAGCAGCAGTAGCAGCAGCAGCAGCAGCAGCAGCAGCAGCAGTAGCAGCAGCAGCAGCAGCAGCAGCAGTAGCAGCAGCAGCCGCAGCAGCAGCAGCAGCAGCAGCAGCATGAGTAGCAGCAGCAGCAGCAGCAGCAGCAGCAGCAGCAGCAGGAGCCCTCCATTAGCTCAGATCACTTGTTTGTTCCTGTGTAAATAGCATGTTGTGGGTTTGCCTCTGTCAGATGGTCCTCCTATATAAGAGCGTGTGGGCAAGGGTGTCATGGCAGCCTATGGTTACCACTGGCTGAGTGTGCGTGTCTATGTGTTAGTGTGTGTGTGTGTGTGTGTCTGTGTGTGTACATTTACTATACAAAGCTCTGTGGGCTTCAGCATATGTCTTCTCTCATGTGGGAGGGCACATATCTGGTGAAGTGCACTCAAGCAAATTCATTTCACATTCTCATTTAGTCGCGTATAACAAGTTTCGGGCAGTGGGCAGGTTCATGAACTATTTGGCACTCTGCTATTTTGGGGAAATCTATTCACAGTCAATGCAGTGGCTGTTAGAAGCTAGAACATAATGATCCCAGTGCTACAATAGTCTTTTACATCGTGTTAGGTTAGACTTCAAATGTGTTTTTTCTTGGCCTCAGAGTCAGATACAGATTTTTAGTTAAATTAACACACTCTGAGATTTTCCACGAGCTACAGAAGCAATGTCTGTAGGTTCAAATTGATATTTTTATTTTTATACAGTGATATGTTAGGGGCATTATGCAACTTCTGAATGTGAAACGAAATTGATATTGTTGCATAAATGACATTGCGGTGACACAGTGGCTGTATGCGTGCTCAGAATGGGTTCTTTACTCTCCAGCACAGTGATCTGTAGGACGCAACAGGATAATTGATTTGGACGTTTTTTTTCTGCTGAGAAAGCCGTGCACCAGAAAAACCTACATTATATCTGTACAGTAAGTAACCTCGGGGTGGTGGAGGATGAGCCTAATTTTGTTTTGTATCGTCCACTTTATTAAGTATTGAAAAATGTTTTTTGAAAGTAAAATTGTTTAAGTACATCCTTCCAATCCCGATGGCTTTTGTCGGCCTGAGGGTGAAGTTATGATTTTAGCCTTTGCTTCACATTCTGTATCCTGTATGAGATGTTTACTGTAAATTATTGTTTATTCAAGTATCTGTATTTATCTGACAGTGTCATGTGACCCCATGTAGGCTGCATGACACTTATATAAACTAAAGTCAAACTCAAAACTCAAACCTACAACTTACTACCTTGGAGCACCGGAGACACAACAATGATCAAGAGCAAAGGCACCATACTCCAGCCTCTGGGTAACAGCAAGGCCAAACATACCAAAATATAAGCTGTTTTCTCACATAAAAAGTTGCGATAGGCACCTTTAAGTAAATATGTTCAATAACCAATCATCTTCAAATGTTTAGACCTACTGCTGTCACTTACACTAACACTGAATAACAGGTTGGTAAATTAGAATGCTCAAAAGTTAATTTATTTCTGTAATTCAACTTAAAATGTGAAACCAATATATGATATGAGTTATTACATGCAAACTGACATATGCCAAGCTTTAATGTGTAATAATGTTGAGGATTTTGGCTTACAGTCCATATTCTAAAAATTCGAATTTTCTGAGATGTTTCATTTATTTAAATATACAGGTTTTTACAGCTTTAACAAATGTATATATAACTTGATATAACTCACTATGTGTGTAACTTCACTGTCAGACATTAGTTTCCCATTGTAAACTGAATAACAGACATAAAAGGACTTTATAATATTACATTTTTTCACTTGTTTTAAAAAAATAATACAACTCTGAACATTGTGAAGCGCTTTGGGTGACCTTGGTCTGTAAAATGCGCTATATTTATAAACATTACTTACTTACAATAAAATCACGTACACAATTTTCCATGTTATGTTTGTGATTTCAAGTAACTTAAACTTGGAAATGACAGATTTGGTTCTAAAAGAAAAAAAACAAGAAAAGTTGAATTCATTGCGTGTCAGAGCTGTCAGAGCTCTGTGTGTGAGTACGTTTGTGTGCGTTTTTTTTTTTTTTGTCGAAGCAAAATCCTGAACTGTAAAAATGTCTGGAGCACTACCTTACATATTATTGCCTATATTTCACCACCATTTCCAATCATTATAATGCCATACTGTGAAAGAGCCTATGCAAAGTGTGCCAATGACAGGTGATGGAGTCTCTATACCTGAAAGATTACATAGCGGTGAACTATGGCATATGTAGTAATGCATAGAAGAGCATAGATGGGACTAGAAAACAAAGCAAATACAAAGGAGCAGACTATAACTAATTTGTGGCTGGCAATATCGCAGAGCTCAGTGTCACTTGAGTTTTAATTTCCTGTCACTGGAAGCAGCAACAATATCAAGATTGAAACATGACTGGGTGTATGAGTCACTCTTGCAGGGAGCTGGCTGTTAGCATTCATAACCCTGTCTGCGTCGGGGCCTCAGCTCTCTGCTCTTTTCACACAGGCAACAGTGAGACACACCTATGAGAGACACCCGCTGTCTCGCACACGCACTTTCACTTACACATGGACTAATAGCACTAATGGGGCTACATGACTAATTCCTCTTCAGCCTTTCTTCAGATGAGTGCTTATTATGGTCTGTCAAGGAGATGAGTCAGTCTATGTCATGGTTACTATGGTGATCAAAGCCCTCAGTACTTCCCTTAAGTTCCTGCAGTCTGAAATAAGACTCTTTAACCCCTTTAACCACACACTAATCAAGGCAAGGCAAGGCAAGGCAAGTTTATTTATATAGCACAATTCATACACAAGGCAATTCAAAGTGCTGAACAGAACAAGAAAGCATTAAAATCATAAATAATCACAGTACATTAAAAAAAAGATAAAAATATAAAATCCCTCAGTTGTAGCACAGCTAAACAGAACTGTTTTCAACCTTGTCTTAAACATTGTCAGAGAGGAGGCCTGTCTCACATCTTCAGGCCTGTCTCACACACGACTGGACGGAGAGGCCTTCTCTGTGCTCACTCTTATACACAGCTTTGCGACTGTTTTCTGCACTGCCCCCAGTCTGTGTGTGCCGTATGCTATACCCAGTCCTAGTGCAACAAATTTGTATTTGAACTCAACTTAAAGAGGTTTAAATAAAATACATAAACAAACAGTCTGAACACACTATCCAACAGTTTATATAAACCTGATTCATGCATGTCTTAAAAATCCTATGTAAATAAGCTAGTCTTGCAATACTAATAGACTACCATGAGCAAAAATGTCACCCCATAGACAGAGAATGTTCAACGGGCGCATTCACACCTGTTGGTTTGGTTCATTCATCTAGACCAAGTCTGGTTCACTTGGGGAGAAAATGCTTTCAAAAGTTGTAAACAGACTTAAGTGACTTGTTAATTACTAGAGGACTCATTTGTTTGGTAGTTTCACATCCAAAAATAAAGTATTTTTTGCCCAGAAATGGTCCAGGTAAAGTGAACCAGACCAGGAAGTATGAACATGCCCTAAGTTTGGCATTCTTCTCCAGTGAATCAGAGTCAGATGTAAGCTCACATGATGGAAGTGTGAATGTCTCATGTTCCTGTGTGCAGTGGTCACAGCCTTTGTTCTTATAAAACTGCAGTGTCAGCACTGAAGGCTCCAATAGACCTCACAGATTTGTGATCATGCATTAAATGTAATCATCTGAAGAAGGTAGTAATACATAAAAAACATGCAACACAGCTAGTGTGGAATGTGCATTGTATTGATCAGGAGTTTTAGGCATGTTACAACATCATGCTTTACTGATTACTATAAACTTAAAAACTTTACTGTGGGACAGGTTAAGGGATCATTCATTCATTCATTCAAAGGTAGGCCTAATAATCATACTGATGATCACATCATAAGAACAAGCAAGACTTCTAAATAAATAAGTAAAATGAACACCAAAAATCCTGTTGATCTACTGTAATCTAATCAGAGTCATCACATTCAGTGATTGAATTAACTGTCTGCCACCCCCACCTACTTCAGGAACTTTTTATGGGGTTGAAAAATCATGACTGTACACACATCAAACGATTTACTGAAAAATGCTGAGAAATGCACCAAAACTACGCCAACAGATTGTGTGGTGTTAAACATCAAATGAGCCTAAAAGTATCATCAGTAATTATGATGAATCTATGGTAATTATCAATCCAAATTTGAGTAACTAGTAGATAGTTCGCTTTTGCGCATGTGCATGTTATGATAAGTCACATGACACAAGTAAACATCAACAAAGAACAAAAGTGAACCAAGAGGAGGAATCCATTTGACGCGTTTTAATGTTGCCACTCCAGATTAAGCAACATGTGATCTGAATATTTAGTCCCATGCGTAAACTCGTGCGTTTTTAGTGTATCATTAAAACAATTGTTTCATTTTTATTTAATTGTCTAAGATTGACAACGCTCCCAGGGTCTAGTGGGCTATAAGTGTCTTGACGTTTAGTGCTCTTTGAGAACGTTGTCCTTACAAAAACATCGCACGGGAGGACGCGGACAAGTTCAACCTCCTCTGCACTGGGACAGCTGCAGACGCACTTTATTTCACTTTAAGAATACTTTTCCTTCACCATGAGAGTGTTTGTTGGACTGCTCTGGTCGCTGCTGGTCTGGGCTGAATGCTGTCGGGCGGACACACCGGCGAACTGCACGTACGAAGACCTGCTGGGCACATGGCTCTTTCAAGTGTCTGAAGGAGGCCCAGAGCAGAACATGAGCTGCTCCACTGAGGGTAGTGTTGTTCACCTGCTTCTGTTTCATACTTACACAGACGCATGCTGCGATTGGGCCTAAGATGAATCTCACCAGTGTCCTTTCATTTCCTGGGTTTAGTCTCATCAGCACAAAGACCTACTGCTTAGAAGGTTAAAAGTTTACAGAAGTCAGGCAGTACGAGCTTCTTTGCACTTTTGTCATATTAAAATGACATTTTTTAAGCATCAAACATGAGTGGACTTCCTGCACTTTTTACATTTACAAAAAACTACTGTATATACAAAACATGCCAGTGCTGACGTTCTAACCAAGTCTGTACCCAGTGAGTTTTTGCATTAGATTTGCCTTTTTATATTAGAAATGAAGGAACATGAGAATATTTGTTTATGTTGCTGACATAGTGTAAATATATATGAAAACAAAAAAGCGTGTGTTTTGCAAGAAAGAAGTTAAACTAATAAAAAAAACGTTGAAAAAGGAGGAATCATTACACTTCATCCCTCTGCTTTTCAAGTAGCGATTAATATTCTTTGTTTTACTATCTGTGTTCTTGCGATCGCTGTTTTAAGTTGTGTATATTGTGTATCTTTTTTCATTGTGTGCTTGAAATAAACTAAACTACTTTACATTGTGTTGAAAGGTGTTGGAGAAAGCACAGCCACAGTGACCCTGGAAAAGCTGTCTGTCGCCACTGATGACTTGGGCAACACTGGCTTCTTCACCCTCGTCTACAACCAAGGATTTGAGGTGGTGCTTGGCGGATACAAATGGTTTGGATTTTTCAAGGTAAGTTTTCATTTCTCTCTCATTCATTATAAAATGACAGTGCCTCATTTGTGTTTGAGCAGTAATATAATTGTTTTTTGAATGTTACATAGACATAAACATGCTGAGAAGAGGTTTCATGACTCATGAGTATATGCTCATAAAAGTAGCAAATATATACGCGTTTTATTTTACTTTACATTTTGTTTGTTGCTCCAATGAATTGATAATGACTGTGGAATGAAATGTAAAAGTGTAAAAAAAGTTTTTTTAATCAAACAACATAATTTGTAATTGACAAGCTTTGTTTCCAATGTATAACAAATCCCATATTCACAGATTTCTTTTTGGGAAGTAAACATCTAATGTGGGATCCAATCTTTGGAATCTAATAAGAATAATCATCCAATTGATGATTATCTATAATCACTCATTACTGCCCGAGCCTAGTGCTGTTAAAGTGCTGTCTGAGTCAAACACTTGACATGTGATTCTGTACAAAAGGAAGTGCCTCATTTGGCTCTTGTCTCGTCTCGATTTTCTAGTTTAAATGTTCACTTCCTGTTTTTAGGTTTTCATTACTTCTCCTGGCTCCTTGGGGTTTTGTTTTAAGGATTTAATAAATAGGAATTCTCCCTTCTATAATACATGCAAAATACAAATCTTTGACAAATGTCAACATGTATGAATAAATTGTATTGTATTGTAATACACTACTGACATGTTTTAATGTCTGTTATTTCAGTATTCTGAGGATGGCTCCCAGGTAACCAGTTTCTGTGATCGGACCCAGCCTGGATGGGTTCATGATGTTTTGGGAAACAACTGGGCCTGTTTTGTGGGAAAGAAATTGAAAGCAGTGCCACCTCGAAGTGACGTCAAACCCATGCTCAACAGCAAGTACGTATACAGTACATTGAACTGTGCCCATTTTTATTCTTCTTTGGCAGAAAACTTTGATCAAAAAGTAATTCCAGTACTAACTCTATAATTCTGCTCACTTTTAGGCATAGAGAGAGCTCCTACAAGCACAATCTAGACTTCATTGATGCAATCAACTCTGTTCAAAGCCTTTGGAAAGCTCAGCCGTATTCCGAACATGAAACCTACAGTCTGTTAGAGCTGCACTACAGAGCTGGAGGTCCTGCGTCCAGGATTCCTGCGTGAGTATAAATCATGTCCATTTTTCATCGACCTGAAGGTGTTTGGCTGCTCGTGTGTGTGTGTGTGTGTGTACACCATTGCTACACTCTCGTATGTCATAGGAAATGAATGACAAATGGCTTCTTTTAATTTGAAATATCATCACTCATCTATCCTCCACCTCCACTGACGGTCAAAGCATGTGCTAAATGACATGCTCTTTGTAAACCAGATTGTATTTAAACTTCATTTTTGTAAATCTTCTGTACAATGTGCACACATGGTTGGTTTTGGATGATAGGATTTCCAATGTTTAAATGCACATGTGCAGACGTGTCCGTCCAGCACCTGTGACCAGTGACTTGGCCAAGATGGCAGCTGCTCTACCCGCACACTGGGACTGGAGGAACGTCAATGGAGTCAACTTTGTCAGCCCTGTGAGAAACCAAGGTAACTTGTTGACAGTTTAATGTGCACATGTTAAACAATTATGGTTCATTTTATGGACGATCGAGTGGCGTTCCACTGTAACGGCTGTCTGCCTTGAAGAACCAGTTGAGTTCCCTCCTGGCGCGCTTTAGCCTGGATTCTGCCTTCCCCTGTTTCTGCAGAGCGTGAGAGCATAGATTATGTGCCGAGTGATCTGGAGAGTACTTCAATGGAAGTCCTCTGAGCCTGTGTGAAGCTCTTTCAGTCATAGTCAATATTGTATAGATCTATTGTATTGTTTTAATACTGAATATAATTATCTGAAGAAATTGGTGGTCATATATTCCCATGGTGTGGAAGGACTTACCCTTGGGGGTGGGTTAGGGGTGTGGGAGGACTTCAAGATGAGAAAAAAAAAATGTAGCACTATAAATGACTAAAATTAACAACACCATAATGATTAATAATTGAATAGTTACTCTGCTGTACATTATAGTCAGCAGTGGCGGTTGCAAGTTGATTTCCTTCACATTTGGGCGTGTCCCGGACTGAAATGTTGAAAACCCCTGGGCTCACTTGGGTTTTTCTGAAGTGCAATGATGGCGCACCTGACTTCTGTCTGAATCTGTAATCTTCTCTTTCAGCATCGTGTGGAAGTTGCTACTCGTTTGCTTCAATGGGAATGCTCGAGGCACGAATCCGAATTTTGACGAACAACAGCCTGACCCCCACCCTCAGCCCTCAACAGATTGTATCCTGCTCCAAATACTCCCAAGGTACACAAACGCAAGAGGAAAAACCATTTTGGATAGAGAAAAAGATTAAATGACCTTTTTGTTTTTAGGTTGTGATGGTGGATTTCCATATCTGATTGGGAAGTATGCACAGGACTTTGGCGTGGTGGATGAATCATGCTTTCCATATGTTGCCAAAGACACCCCCTGTGGCCTTTCTCAGAAATGCGGCCGCACTTACACTGCACAATACAACTATGTCGGTGGATTTTATGGGGCATGCAGTGAAGCAGCCATGATGTTGGATCTTGTTAAGAATGGACCCATGGCAGTGGCCTTCGAGGTATAATCATTGATTTCAGATATTTCAGGCAGTCCATTAAATGGTTATGTCAGTCATGTTGGGGTTTGTTAATTGCTTACGATGTCTTTTAGAGCTCCAAGAAGACCGATAACATTTTTATGGTGTATCATTGAAGTTAATTTTTGTTTATTTTTTCAAGGTGTATTCCGACTTCATGCACTACAAAGAAGGCATCTACCACCACACTGGTCTCACGGACACAGTCAATCCTTTTGAGCTGACCAACCATGCTGTCCTTCTGGTGGGTTATGGCCGCTGTCACATGACTGGACAGAAGTACTGGATTGTCAAGAATAGCTGGGGCACTGGCTGGGGAGAGGAGGGCTACTTCCGCATCCGCAGGGGGAGTGACGAGTGTTCCATTGAGAGCATTGCTGTAGCAGCCAGTCCCATCCCAAAACTGTGGTAGAGCCACTAAAAGGGAACATCTTTGCACATTTGAAATTAAGAATATTCACATTTGAAATGGGAAAATTTTGTTTTCGTTGTTGTGACTAGATACTTATTTTACTTGATGAAAAGGGACAGCATCAACCCCCGAATGTATTCATCCAGCAATGTATTTTAGAACCATTGGTACTGAGAGTACAACTCACAGGTGTGGTATTGATTCATCATTTCTCCAAGGGATGTATTACTGTAAATTCTATTACTAGTGTGGAAAAAAATATTCTCAGGGACGAAAAACTTTAGATTTGTGTTATTTCTTCACTGCTATGATACCCTAACATGACACACATGACAAACATGCTGTTTTGCATGTAGGATATAAAAGGGAATAATTAATCCTGACGTGGTAATGATTTGAGATGTTTTAACTCTTTAAATTAAACTTACATTTGCACTGTTGCTTTTAAATAGGAGATTGTTTTACTTTTTCTTGAACGTTCAACCAGACGAATTTAAATGCTGGTGTTTTTGTATTATCATTTTAAACAGTTGTATGAGATTCAGTGGGAATTGTAAATGCCAATAAGATTATCACCACAATTTAAACTTCTATCTTTGCAGAAAATCATTAAAGAGTATGATCTAAAACACAAGATTGTCATTTTTCGTAGTATATCTTTGTACATAATACTTCTAGTTTGCCCAGTACTGGGAGAATGGAATAGTAGTTGTAGTGTTGTGAGTGTAGGTGCAGGTCACAAGGTGCAGGCTGCTCACATCTCGGGTGGGCCGGCCTCAGCACATCCTCCTGCCCTGCTCTGTGGCTCTGGCTCTGAGGGCCCCTGCAACACTCCTCTGAACGCTAAAGAGGGCTTCATGCTTAGATCGCGCTCTGTCGGGTCGCCATGCAGAACAACCACAAAGAACACCTTTATAAGATCCTGGTAATCGGGGACCTTGGCGTCGGGAAGACCAGCATCATCAAGCGCTATGTGCATCACAACTTTAGCCCCAACTATCGAGCCACGATCGGAGTAGACTTCGCCCTCAAAGTGCTCAACTGGGACCAGGAGACCGTGCGCCTGCAGCTCTGGGACATCGCAGGTAACCCCTCTCCCTTTTACATACACAAATGTAGTGTATCACTTTGGTAATGTTCACAGCACGTTAACTTCAGTATTTTTCATGTGCACATTTTACACTTGGAGTTGAACGTGTCTGTTTTTGCCCCGTGATAAGGCCTTTATCTCAATCCTCTTTTGATCATAATAATTGCAAGTTTGGCGTAATGCAGTGAAATAAAAAGTCTGCCATTGTCCATGAACAATACTAGTAAGAGTGTTCTGAGTGACACATGGTCCAGAGAGCGTGCACGTGAGGTTCTGGTCACAGATGACATTTCCTAAAGGATGGTGAAAGGGCTATTTAGGGTTATGAGAGCCATGTCCACCAGCTGACATGTTGGCATTACAAATCATTTTGTGCCGCATTGCTGAAATTAGATCTTCTGAGCTTTCAAACATGAGAAAAAGAAACATAAATATAAACACTTTGAAATTTGGATTTGTAAATTTATGTGTGTGCTTGATTTGTTGATTGGGCAATATGATAGCAATGCCCCTCAAACCAATTTGTACAATGTTGTGATGAATATGAAAATAAAAAAACCCCAAAATATTTCTGATTTGATGGATGAAAGTCAGATTTAAAAGTGTTGTAATACTTTCTAACAAATATAGTGTAATGGCCTATAGTCCCAAGAGCGAGGTATAACACGGCCCTTTGAGTGTGATGCTGCAGGGGCAGATAACGGCTCACATGAGAGTCGGCTGAGGGCCAGAAGAATGCCTGGACCTGCTCTCCTCCTGTAGCTCATACAGTCATGTGTCTCCAGCTCATGTGAGGGAGATTTGAGGCTTGAGCTCACGTATTAACATTACTGGAGCTTTCCTGTGCATGAAAGTACTGTTAAAAACCTTGATTTTTATACTAGGGAGATTAGTTACTAGTTTTTTATTTTGTCAATGTGTGTTCATGCTGGAATAGTTTAAATCCATATTTTATAATTACCACTTGTATGGAATAGACTTTCCTCAAAGCCTTTAGGTCTCTGTATGATATCTGACTGGTTTTTATAAAAAATATGCATGTAATGTGAATGTTAAAGTGAACAAACGACAACAACAATATAACTTATTGTGATAAGTTGTTGTTACCAAATGTTCCTATAAACTGCACTTTTAAAATTGTAGTTTACTTTAATTTATTTGAAAGGGGGGGAAATGCTATTTGAAAAGACAGATGAAAAAGCTCGAACTAGCCAATTTTTCATATGTCGTCCCCTGAGATGTCTGATGTTTTTCCTGGGATCAGCTTTAGCCACTTTCTAGCTTGGAGGTCACTGCTCAGAGTCACCTACTGTCAAATTTACTTTCCGGGCCTCCTCCGGCTCCTTCTATCACTGCTTTCCTATCACCTTTACCTACCAGGCCCTCCTGGCTCCTGTCTCAGCCCTATACTGTCAGCTTTACCTACCAGGCCCTCCTGGCTCCTGTCTCAGCCCTATACTGTCAGCTTTACCTACCAGGCCCTCCTGGCTCCTCTCTCAGCCCTATACTGTCAGCTTTACCTACCAGGCCCTCTCCTGCTCCTGTCTCAGCCCTATACTGTCAGCTTTACCTACCAGGCCCTCTCCTGCTCCTGTCTCAGCCCTATACTGTCAGCTTTACCTACCAGGCCCTCTCCTGCTCCTCTCTCAGCCCTATACTGTCAGCTTTACCTACCAGGCCCTCTCCTGCTCCTGTCTCAGCCCTATACTGTCAGCTTTACCTACCAGGCCCTCTCCGGCTCCTCTCTCAGCCCTATACTGTCAGCTTTACCTACCAGGCCCTCTCCTGCTCCTCTCTCAGCCCTATACTGTCAGCTTTACCTACCTAGGCCCTCTCCTGCTCCTCTCTCAGCCTATACTGTCAGCTTTACCTACCAGGCCCTCTCCTGCTCCTCTCTCAGCCCTATACTGTCAGCTTTACCTACCAGGCCCTCTCCTGCTCCTCTCTCAGCCCTATACTGTCAGCTTTACCTACCAGGCCCTCTCCTGCTCCTCTCTCAGCCCTATACTGTCAGCTTTTACTAGCCCTATACTGTCAGGCAGGCCCTCTCCTGCTCCTCTCTCAGCCCTATACTGTCAGCTTTACCTACCAGGCCCTCTCCTGCTCCTCTCTCAGCCCTGTCAGCTTACTACTGTCTCCTGCTCCTTACCTCAGCTTACCTACAGGCCCTCTCCTGCTCCTCTCTCAGCCCTATACTGTCAGCTTTACCTACCAGGCCCTCTCCTGCTCCTCTCTCAGCCCTATACTGTCAGCTTTACCTACCAGGCCCTCTCCTGCTCCTGTCTCAGCCCTATACTGTCAGCTTTACCGCCCTCTCCTGTCTCAGCCCTATCTGTCAGCCCTACAGCCCTCTCGGCTCTCTCTCAGCCATACTTCAGCTTTACCTACCAGGCCCTCTCCTGCTCCTCTCTCAGCCCTATACTGTCAGCTTTACCTACCAGGCCCTCTCCTGCTCCTCTCTCAGCCCTATACTGTCAGCTTTACCTACCAGGCCCTCTCCTGCTCCTGTCTCAGCCCTATACTGTCAGCTTTACCTAACAGGCCCTCTCCTGCTCCTCTCTCAGCCCTATACTGTCAGCTTTACCTACCAGGCCCTCTCCTGCTCCTCTCTCAGCCCTATACTGTCAGCTTTACCTACCAGGCCCTCTCCTGCTCCTGTCTCAGCCCTATACTGTCAGCTTTACCTACCAGGCCCTCTCCTGCTCCTCTCTCAGCCCTATACTGTCAGCTTTACCTACCAGGCCCTCTCCTGCTCCTCTCTCAGCCCTATACTGTCAGCTTTACCTACCAGGCCCTCTCCTGCTCCTGTCTCAGCCCTATACTGTCAGCTTTACCTACCAGGCCCTCTCCTGCTCCTGTCTCAGCCCTATACTGTCAGCTTTACCTAACAGGCCCTCTCCGGCTCCTCTCTCAGCCCTATACTGTCAGCTTTACCTACCAGGCCCTCTCCTGCTCCTCTCTCAGCCCTATACTGTCAGCTTTACCTACCAGGCCCTCTCCTGCTCCTGTCTCAGCCCTATACTGTCAGCTTTACCTACCAGGCCCTCTCCTGCTCCTGTCTCAGCCCTATACTGTCAGCTTTACCTACCAGGCCCTCTCCTGCTCCTGTCTCAGCCCTATACTGTCAGCTTTACCTACCAGGCCCTCTCCGGCTCCTCTCTCAGCCCTATACTGTCAGCTTTACCTACCAGGCCCTCTCCTGCTCCTCTCTCAGCCCTATACTGTCAGCTTTACCTACCAGGCCCTCTCCTGCTCCTGTCTCAGCCCTATACTGTCAGCTTTACCTACCAGGCCCTCTCCTGCTCCTGTCTCAGCCCTATACTATCAGCTTTACCTACCAGGCCCTCTCCGGCTCCTCTCTCAGCCCTATACTGTCAGCTTTACCTACCAATATCAGTTGCTCCATTACCATCCTCTCAGTCTATATCTGACAGTCTTACCGGATTATTCGCTTGCTCATCCTCTTCAGCCTTTGGAGATGTTTCTCATCTTGATCCTGGAGTTTCCAGACCATACTCCAAACAAATTTCTATTTCTATTCCTTCCTCCTGGTAGGATTCTTGCGTGGTAGATCCAGGCATCTCAGGGCCTACTCTGCACTCGAAGAGCACATACCCCACCAAGGCCGCGGATCGTCCTGAAATTTGAATGGAGACTTCCTACCATCACATCCCAATACTAATTTCAGATGTGTGCTGTACACACATGGAGATTACATACTTAACTTGAGGACAAAAACTAATCAGCTATTTATAGAGTCACAGTATTTATTCTAAAAATGTTTGCTGTTTGAAATAGAGAAATCCATATGTTGACCAAACTCACTCACTAATTTTGCTGCACAATCAAACAATTGCACAATAGATAGTACACAGGGAGATTAAGAGTCATGTCTTCCTGGTAGTAAAGATGTTGCCAATTTTTAACTCAGTGTTACAGAATCTAGTATTTTTATTTGTTTTTTTGAGTGTTGCCAATTTGCTAAAAAAATGATGAAATGTGATTGTTGTAGGTCAGGAGCGGTTTGGCAACATGACTCGTGTGTACTACCGTGAAGCCATGGGGGCCTTCATTGTGTTCGACGTCACCAGGCCTGCCTCCTTCGACGCCGTCACCAAATGGAAAGAAGACTTGGATTCCAAACTGACACTTGCCAATGGGAAACATGTAGCCACAGTACTTTTGGCAAATAAATGTGACCAGGGCCGTGACGTGTTGACCAACAACGGGATAAAGATGGAGCAGTTTTGCCAGGAGAATGGCTTTGTGGGCTGGTTCGAGACCTCCGCCAAGGTGAGGAAGGGTCATTCTTGGAGGAATGCATGTGCTATGAATACTAAGGAAGTAAAGACTCAATGCAAAAGGCGTCACATCCCATTTAAATGTCCTTGGGCCACGACTCCCTGTCAGCTCCTCTGTATCACACACTGCACCTGATCAGCGCTGTAAATGCCACAGCAGACGCTATAGTAATAATGAGCTTGTTGCCAGGGCGATTGCAACAATTTATCCTTTTTTCAGGCAAAACAATAGTAACTCCACTCAAAAAGTACATAGTGCACCTTTAAGTATGTTTAGGATTAGGAAGAATTATTACAAACTAAATACAATAAACAATATTGGTAAAGTATTCAATAGCCAAGGCAATCTCTCCACATGAGAAGCAGCTGAGCCTGTCACAGTGACGCATCAATTCAGCATCATAAGTTGCTATAGAAACATATAATTGCAATATTAATCACTGTAAATCCCTTGTACTGTAGATTTACTATTCCTGTGACAAATGCGTAGCACAATGAGCAGCTAGTGCAGTGCTTCTCAGCCTTTTTGACAGTTGTTGTAATGCCCCCCATTGCAAATCTTGTAAATAGTCCAGGGGTCAAAGTAGTTTTGAGAGAATAAAAAGAGATTTGCCGAGGGGCCGATGTTTTTGCCATTTTGGTTTACAAAGGTATCCATCATTTCTGTATTTATCATTACCACCACCAGGGGTAATGTAATGACCAGGGTCTGTTTATTTAGTCTATTTTAGTCAAAGGGCAAATTTGAATGAAAAAAAAAAATCACATTTTGGAGGTGATCCAGATCTACACCTTGATTAATTTTTGTTGTTGTTGAAGGACATGAACTGTGACGTCTGTGACTGTGACGTGTTATTATAATGAAAATGAAAATAGTCCTTATGAATGTAACAAACTAACTGTTAGAGCATGCAGTTACAGGACGGGCTCTGTTGCTCCTGGGGTAAAGGGTTTTTCGGAATGAAAGAAGCCCAGACATGATTCCATATGATGAGCTGTGGAATCACCCACAGCCGCTCCACCACAGCCGCTCCACCACAGCCACTCCACCACAGCCGCTCCACCACAGCCGCTCCACCACAGCCGCTCCACCACAGCCACTCCACCACAGCCACTCCACCACAGCCACTCCACCACAGCCACTCCACCACAGCCACTCCACCACAGCCACTCCACCACAGCCACTCCACCACAGCCACTCCACCACAGCCACTCCACCACAGCCACTCCACCACAGCCACTCCACCACAGCCACTCCACCACAGCCACTCCACCACCTCCACTCCACCACAGCCGCTCCACCACAGCCGCTCCGCCACTCACACACCACTCACAGCCACTCCACCACAGCCACTCCACCACAGCCACTCCACCACAGCCACTCCACCACAGCCACCCACCACAGCCACTCCACACACCACTCCCACAGCCACTCCACCACAGCCACTCCACCACAGCCACTCCACCACAGCCACTCCACCACAGCCACTCCACCACAGCCACTCCACCACAGCCACTCCACCACAGCCACTCCACCACCACCCTCCACCTCCACCACAGCCGCTCCACCACAGCCGCTCCCCACTCCACCACAGCCACTCCACCACAGCCACTCCACCACAGCCACTCCACCACAGCCACTCCACCACAGCCACTCCACCACAGCCACTCCACCACAGCCACTCCACCACGCCACTCACCACAGCCACTCCACCACCTCCACTCCACCACAGCCACTCCACCACCTCCACTCCACCACAGCCACTCCACCACCTCCACTCCACCACCTCCACTCCACCACAGCCACCACCGCCACTCCACCACCGCCACTCCACCACAGCCACCACCGCCACCACCGCCACTCCACCACAGCCACCACCGCCACTCCACCACCGCCACTCCACCACCGCCACTCCACCACCTCCACTCCACCACCGCCACTCCACCACCGCCACTCCACCACCGCCACTCCACCACCTCCACTCCACCACCGCCACTCCACCACCGCCACTCCACCACCGCCACTCCACCACCGCCACTCCACCACCGCCACTCCACCACCTCCACTCCACCACAGCCACTCCACCACAGCCACTCCACCACCTCCACTCCACCACCTCCACTCCACCACAGCCACCACCGCCACTCCACCACAGCCACCACCGCCACTCCACCACCGCCACTCCACCACCGCCACTCCACCACCGCCACTCCCCACCACTCCACCACCGCCACTCCACCACCGCCACTCCACCACACCCACTCCACCACACTCCACTCCACCACCTCCACTCCACCACAGCCACTCCACCACCTCCACTCCACCACCTCCACTCCACCACAGCCACCACCGCCACTCCACCACAGCCACCACCGCCACTCCACCACAGCCACCACCGCCACTCCACCACCGCCACTCCACCACACCCACTCCCACCACCTCCACTCCACCACAGCCACTCCACCACCGCCACTCCACCACCGCCACTCCACCACCGCCACTCCACCACCGCCACTCCACCACCCACCACCGCCACCACCCGCCACTCCACACCGCCACACCGCCACCACGCCACTCCACCACCGCCACTCCACCACCGCCACTCCACCACCCCGCCACCCACCCCACCACCGCCACTCCACCACCGCCACTCCACCACCGCCACTCCACCACCGCCACTCCACCACCGCCACTCCACCACCGCCACTCCACCACCGCCACTCCACCACCGCCACTCCACCACCGCCACTCCACCACCGCCACTCCACCACCGCCACTCCACCACCGCCACTCCACCACCGCCACTCCACCACCGCCACTCCACCACAGCCACTCCACCACCGCCACTCCACCACAGCCACTCCACCACCGCCACTCCACCACAGCCACTCCACCACAGCCACTCCCACAGCCACTCCACCACAGCCACTCCACCACCTCCACTCCACCACTCCACTCCACCACAGCCACTCCACCACAGCCACTCCACCACCAGCCACTCCACCACAGCCACTCCACCACAGCCACTCCACCACCGCCACTCCACCCACCTCCACTCACCACCTCCACTCCACCACCTCCACTCCACCACCTCCACTCCACCACAGCCACTCCACCACAGCCACTCCACCACCTCCACTCCACCACCTCCACTCCACCACAGCCACTCCACCACAGCCACTCCACCACCGCCACTCCACCACCGCCACTCCACCACCGCCACTCCACCACCGCCACTCCACCACCGCCACTCCACCACCGCCACTCCACCACCGCCACTCCACCACCGCCACTCCACCACCGCCACTCCACCACCGCCACTCCACCACCTCCACTCCACCACCTCCACTCCACCACCGCCACTCCACCACCGCCACTCCACCACCTCCACTCCACCACCTCCACTCCACCACCTCCACTCCACCACAGCCACTCCACCACCTCCACTCCACCACAGCCACTCCACCACCTCCACTCCACCACCTCCACTCCACCACCTCCACTCCACCACAGCCACTCCACCACAGCCACTCCACCACAGCCACTCCACCACAGCCACTCCACCACCTCCACTCCACCACCTCCACTCCACCACCTCCACTCCACCACCTCCACTCCACCACCTCCACTCCACCACAGCCACTCCACCACAGCCACTCCACCACAGCCACTCCACCACAGCCACTCCACCACAGCCCATTAGAGCAGCTAATGTGGAGCAGGAATCTCACAGCTATGAACTAAAGCAAGCAAATTCTCTGCAACCACAACCAATTATCGATGGGGCCAATTAGTGAAAGCTAAATGCTCAACCCATTAGTAGCAGCAGTTTTTGCATAAATTAACCGCTGACCTCGAATGTAAATAGACTTGAAAGCGCAAATCAATGTTCCAAGTCCTTAAATGTAATAACTGCGGCAAAGACTACACAGTTGCCTTTAAGCATATACAGGTAGAGTTCTTAATATACCGAGATGAAACTTGACGCACTGGAGCCGTTAATAAAACCCAGAGCTGAATAGTCTGCCAGAAGAATTATTCAAAGCCTTTATCTACAACGACACTGGACAAGCTTTGTGTATCAAGGAGTAAGAGGAAGGACATCGCTGATAAAACAAAAGTATTTTTTACGTGACATATGTTGGTGTACAGATCTTTGGGGACCGGTGATAGATGAAGGTTGTGTGTTTTTGGACGTGTGCTGGCGTTCTGCAGACCGCTGTGTGTCACATCGTACTGAGCTCGCTGTTGTTAGATCTGAGTGAACATGCCAAAGCCAGCACAGACTCCGGCTCCTTCACACGCCACATATTCACTAAGAGTTTGCACACAGCTCGATTATAATCCCTGCTGATTTTGTGTGCATATGAATTACTCTCCTAACTAATGGGCCATGTTCTAGTTTGCTAAGCCATCATCATCAAATCAATATTCTTCCTAAAATACACTTTTCCATAAGCAGTAATAGCTGTTGTTATCTTGGTCTGTATAAACGGCTATGAATGATTTGATGAATCAAGTAATCTATTTACCCTTTTTCCCTCCTAACTTAATTATATATTTGATTTTGATGAATTGCATTCATGTTCAAACAAACAATTCTGAAAATGTTCAATTGTTATATCAGTCTTCAGAGCAGTGTTGGCACCAGGCAAAAACATTTCTGTTAAAAACGAGCTGGAATTAGTTCTGTAATGTTAAAGTGCAACAGTTTTACTTCCTGTAACTCACCGGGCTCTCAGAACGTGCTGTCAAAAATACTCAAAACTCCTGACAAGAACCAGGAAGTCCTCTCACATTAGTCCTGGTCAGAGGTCTCTGCGCTGGCTTTCTGTGGCTCAGAGGAGCACAGGGACTAGCCTCCTGCTGGTGCAGAGTCAGGAATAAACAATGGCAGAATTCCAGATTTATGCAGAAAAAACCTGGAGCGCTCTTCCTGAATGTACTGTGATTATTTATGTTTTTGAGTTGTCTTGTTACTTTTCCAAGAATTGAACCTATTTAGTGATTAATTAACATCCACAAGCTTTTTTCAGAGGCACATCTGGATCAAATCTTACTTCAGTGCTCTAAACAACAAATCGATTAATCGAGCCATTAATCGCTAGATTAGTTTCAGCTCTACAAATAAACTCGTCCTGTCTTATTGAAATAAAAATGTACATTTTGATGAACATGGAATGAAAAGGCAATATAGAAAAGGTGAACAAAGTTTCACGGTTAATGAAAGCTCGTGCACTCAGTGGGTTGAATATATTAGCTTTCTAGTCGAAGGTCAAATAGCTCCGCCAATATGCAAATATGGCCCCTATAGAAAATAAAGATCAGTAATCTAACCTTTTCAGTTAACTCTTCTGATATCTTCTAGAATGTTCCACAGGTCTTGAGGAATTAATCTACTTTATTTTTTATTTTTATGTTTGACTATATTTTAATTTGAATTCATTTTTACCCCACAGGAAAACATAAACATAGATGAGGCGGCCAACCTCTTGGTGAAACACATCATTGCCAGTGAGAAAGATATGCTCCAGTCAGACGTCCCTGACACGGTCACACCTCAGCTGGAGAAGGACAGACGGGGAGTGTGCTCCGCCTGCTTCCGCTCCCAGTAACTGTCCTTTTGTATCTCATTATTCTCAGCCGGCAAGACACAGAGGGACAATGGACCCTGGCAGCTTTTAATGAGACGTAGAAGTGTGCCAATGCCCCAGCGTAAGGAATGACAGGAAGCCAATGGACTCAAACATTAGATGGACTGGAGAGACCAAATGTGTGTATATATATATGGACATGAGCAGATGGGTGCTCGTCAAGCCAAGGTCAACTCTGGGGCAGGCTTTGACAGCACTGTGGAGACAGCTATGAATGACATGTCATCATACTACAAAGACCACAACTGTAAAGATCTATATTCATTAGCAATAAGCCTTCAACAGTTTACGTGAGTTAAACTTTCTTACACTGAAACTGACTGAAACTTTTGACTGATGTTATACAGTTCCAATAATGCTGGATTAACGGTTTACATCAGGTTTAAAAACAGGATCTTTAGATTTTTAAACCTCATGTTTAAAAATCAATTACATTTCAATTGAAGTGAGAGTAAAATTTTCAAATGTTTGTTTCATCTAAGAAAATATTGTCATTTTGATCTTCCAATATTCTACTTTAACTGAAAAAGAAGCATGCCATGTTTTGTCTACTTTTCTGATATAAAACGGACATTTATTTATTCTGCAGATGCTGCATTTACATTACACTTCCCATGTACATGTGTGAATTTTCTATTTTATTCAATAATTCATCCAGACCTTTTTACTGAATCCACCGTACTCATGGTTTTCTACTGCTCTGAAGATCATACTTTATCTAACTTTCTATAATAAACTCTATTATTTAAAAGGGTGTCTTTTTTCTTTTACAACCCAATATAGATTTTCAGTGGTAGGCTATTAAAGCTAAGTAATAGCCGAGGATTGGCAGCGTTTCCCCAGTCCTCAGTGCGGCGTCGGACCATAGACTATATAATCAGACTAGAGTCAGACCATAGACTGTATATAGTCAGACTGGAGTCAGACCATAGACTGTATATAGTCAGACTGGAGTCAGACCATAGACTGTATATAGTCAGACTGATGTGGACAGAGTGTACAGGTGGAGAAGACGTCACTAGCATCAACTTTATCATCTATTCAGGTGAGCATCTGTATAACTGAGGTCGTCTGGGGAAAGCATCCGTCTCTGGATCTTTGAGGCCTGCAGTCTTTCCTCCTGCTGCTTCGTTGCCAAAACAGGTAAATAATATGAGTAATGTGGATAGAAGTTGTGTTTTTATGCGAGCTTATGGTAATTATCGACCATATTGACTACAAAAAGAATCCAGTACTTTTTCCCTATAGTAAATTTAAACATAGCAAAACCTTGGGAGTAATATGTACCTATAATAACAATCAGATATGGGAAAAAAACGAAGATTAGTAATAAGGCATGACCATACTTTTCTCTGCGTCAATCACCATCGAGTGTAAACCCACATTTTAAGTTTTTAGAATTATATGTATAGCAATTTATTGATTATATAGCAACAGTTTTTTCTTTCTACGTTTCTAAAAATGCAAGTATCTAAATCTCTGTTGCCATTGTACACACAAAGCTGGATTTCATCAAAGAAACTGGCAATCTGAAGAAAAGGCTTATGTGTTGGATGCTCAACTTCAGAACAAAAATAATGTTATTGTTATATGTTGTAATGTTATTCATTTATTATGTTTATTAAGACAATAAATCGACAATGACATTTAGATCTTATACTAATGCACTACACTATGCAAAATGTTTCCAGCTGTGGCCAGTGACTTTAATATCAAAAGGTAGACGTCTCCATATATCTGAATTAGAAGCAAGATTTCCGAAATATGATGATTAATGCATGCATTCCTGTAGTCCTGTATGCATATTGAGTAGCAATGGACATGGCGTTTATACATATTCCACCAAATCTCTTTTACCTGACCTACTCTTAAAGAAGAATACAGATTTTGATGTTCAAGTCTTAAGTTGAATCTTATGATCAAACATTCCAGTGTTTAGTCAGCATTAGCTCTCTCTAAACTTTGTTCCCACAGCAGGATACCTTTGCTAATATACACACAAATCTGATTGGAACTATTAGAAATTGAGATTACAGTAATTGTTTGTTGATGTATTTGTCATTTTTGCCTGACCTGCATTTGACCTGCCAGCAGTACTTGCCTCTGAATCCTTCCTTCAAACATTCCTGTTCCAGTGAGAGGTACACTTTAGTTTTGTCAAAAGCAATCCCATACCTATCTTTGTCGCTATCTCGTAGTTAGCACTTTTTCTCTCCACCGATGCCTTTTGCGCCTCACCATTATGTCTAATCTAGAGCGGTACAACAGCGCGGAGGCTCGTGCCACTGTTCAAATTATATTAATTAGTTCTGATTTGCTGCATTGATGCTACAATTTGTGTGTGAAAAGCATAGACAGTCTATGGTGAAAACAAGGACAGAGGGGGAGAGATTGAACTGTTTGTCGTTGTTGTTATTATGAGACTCCATGTCAGAAAGCCAGCCCTTCTTTTTGTACTCCCACACGTTGCCTATAGACCCATAGCAGAGATGATCAGGAGATTTGGGCAGATTTTTCCTGGTCTCTGCGGTAATGAGCTTCTCCGATGTGTTGGTTTATATACAGACCATGTCCTTGTAGTTCTCCTTGATTCACAACACAAGAAAACAGACAAAGAGAGAGCGTGCGGGAGAGCGTAACAGTAAAATCACAAGACTTAAGTCACAGAGGTTAAGGAGGAAGTAAGCTGCACGTGATTTTTGGGTGACTTCAAGAATCTACCATTTTCTCACACCGACGGTTATGATCATTAGTTTGCAGCTGATGTTTGGAAATTCATGCAGCACCCTTTAACCTTTGTTAGGTTTCTCTGAGGGGTTTCAAAATGGTTTATGGATGCAATAATGTCTCATGTAAATCTTTCATAGAAATCAATGAATTGGCGTTAATATTATACAGTGCGAACACACATCTTCATATTGTAAGCCAGCAACACATCTGCTGTACTTCAATCTGTATGGTTTACATTGACCCAGACATTCAATCTAACACAAATAAAACAAACGAAAATAAATACTAATGTATATGTCTTTTAATTACATATTCA